GCCTCCTGCACATCTCCCACGGGGGATGTGCCCGCAACCCAGGTACATGCCCTTGACCGGAATCGAACCTGGGACCTTTCAGTCCGCAGGCCGACGCTCCATCCACTGAGCCAAACCGGTTTTGGCAAACATTGCCCTTTTAAAGGAGATGATATCCGATTGAAAGACACTTTGGAAAATGGGGCCGTGTGACACTCATAAGGCGCTCACCTCTGCCTGACCCCCAAGACTTCTTCATGGTCAACACCTGTGAGCCATGGCTCCCCCACAGCCCCCTTGGTTATTGGAAGGTGTGGAGGGCCCAGGGGAAGGCGTGTCCACTTGTAGGATCTGGTCTGTCACTCAAGGCTGCCGAAATCTTTTTGGATCCCACCTATGTCACCTGACAGATTTCTCTCTTTCTCAAACGGGCGTCGTCAGAAAAAATCGGAGAAGCACGCAGCCTTTATTTTAAGCCAAGTCATTGAAGAACATGCTGAACAGGAACGAGCCAGGGGGCTGGGCTCTCTGAAGGCTGTGAGAAAACTCCCTCCAACCCCGGCCGGTGTGGCTCAGTGGATAAAAACGTCAGCCTACGGCCTGAAGGGTCCCAGGTTTGATTCCTGGTCAAGGACACAGGCCCGGGGAGCGGGCTGGATCCCCCGTAGGAGGCGTGCAGGAGGCAGCCAGTCAATGATCTCTCTCTCATCATTGATGTTTCTGTCTCTCTCTCCTTCTCCTTTCCTATCCGACATCAATCGAAATATATTTAAAAAAGAAAAGAAAACTTCCTCCACATCAGTGTTAGTTTATTAATCACCTCTCTCTGGGCGCTGGCTGTGTCCTAGCTGCGGAGTGAGTCCCCCTAACTGTGCAGGTCTGCGCTCATTTCTTGCAAAAATTCAAATACTGACGGGAAAGGGCACTTAAGCTACTGTCACCCATTTACTTATTTTTTTATTTTGATGTTGTTAGTCCTCACCTGAGGATATTTTCCCGTTGATCTTTTAGAGCGAGTGGAAGAGAGAGGGAGAGACAGAGAGAAACATCGATGTGAGAGAAACACATCAATTGCTCGCCTCCTGCACGTGCCCGGACCAGGGCCCGGGCCGGGGAGGAGCCTGCAACCGAGGTACACATGCCCTTGACCGGAAATCGAACCCCGACCTCCTGGTTTGTTCACAGGTTGAGGCTCAACCACGCCGGCCGGGCCAGGCGTCCCATCTCTGCGGCTGGGTTTTCTCCATTGTAACACGGGGTGGGATGCCGTGGCAATCACCGAACGCCCGCCCCAGGGTGACTGGGAAAGTGAAAAGCTTATGTAAGGGGCCCAGTCGGTGGAAAGTGTCGGGGGGGGCTGTTGTTTTCCTCCTCGGCCAGGGCTGCTGTCCCGAAGCCGGGGACCTCAGGGGGCCCTGGGCCGGGCCACTGTGCCCAGCCCGCCCCAGTTGTGCAAGCGCTCTCGGTTCTCTTGTTACCCGGGAGCCGGCAACAAACCAAAATAAAGGAAGGGGACAGGCGGGGAGGGCCGAGCCTCCGCAGGGAGCCTGAGCCGGTCAGCTGGGAATGCCTGTCAGCCATCCAGGGCGGCTCCCGCATGGGCCTGGAGGTGGGAGAGTGACTCACGCCGGCCGGTGCCCTCTCCACCCCCCGCGCCCACATGCTCGGCCCTCCCCAGCCCGGGGCTCACCTAATCCCCACCGTGGGAGTCGGGGGGCATGTGCGCCCGAGCCGAGGTCTAGGGTTGCACACAGGAGCCTGCGAGTGGAAGTCTCCGTGCAGCCAGCGTCC